TGTCTTTATCTGCATTTGTTCGTGTATATGTGATAGGAGGGCTAGGTCATCTGCGAAGTCCAAGTCGTCTAATTGGTTCTGAGCTGTCCATTGTATGCCGTGTTTTCCCTCAGATGTAGAGGTCTTCATAATCCAGTCGACCACCAGAAGAAACAGGAAGGGAGAGAGTAGACAACCTTGTCTTACTCCGATCCTTACTTGGGATGAGTCTGTCAGCTGTCCTCCATGCACTAATTTACACTGTAGTCCGTCGTATGAGTTCCGGATAATATTGACAATCTTCTCAGGAACTCCTTAGTGTCGAATAATTTTCCATAAAGTTGTCCTATCTACACTGTCAAATGCCTTCTCATAATCAATGAAGTTGATGTACAGTGACGAGTTCCACTCAATTGATTGTTCGACGATGATCCGTAGCGTCGCAATCTGGTCTGTGCACGACCGGTCCTTACGGAATCCAGCTTGTTGATCTCGAAGTTGAGCGTCAACTGCGTCTTTCATCCTGTTCAGTAACACTCTTGAAGACTTTACCCGGTATTGACAGTAGTGTAATGCCTCTGTAGTTTTCACACTTGCTCAGATCTCTTTTCTTTGGAATCTTGATGAGGTGTCCTTCTTTCCAATCCATCGGCACTTGTTCCTCCCAAATCTTCTTGAATAGAAGATGAAGCATGCTTGTAGTTACTTCGATGTCTGACTTCAACGCTTCAGCTGGTATATTGTCAGGTCCTGCTGCTTTCCCGCTCTTGATTTGTCTGACGGCCATTCTGATTTCTTCTGTCGTTGGTGGATTGACATCTATAGGAAGATCTGTGTGTGCTGCTTCGATGTCCGGTGGATTCATTGGAGCCGGCCTGTTCAGGAGTTCCTCGAAGTACTCTGCCCATCTGTTGCGCTGTTGTTGAATCTCAGTGATTGGTCTTCCTTCTTTGTTTTTGACTGGTCTCTCTGGTTTACTGTATTTCCCTGCAAGCTTCTTCGTCGTATCGTAAAGCTGTCTCATATTTCCTTCTCTTGCAGCTTTTTCCGCCGTCGTTGCTAGTTCTTCCACGTATTTTTGCTTATCAGCTCTAATGCTCTTCTTCACTTTCTTGTTTGCTTCTATGTACTCTGCTTGTGCTTGGACTTTCTCTGCTCTTGTTCGACTGTTGTTAATTGCTGTCTTCTTGTTCTTTCTTTCTTTGATCCTGTCCAGTGTATCTGTAGAGATCCATTCCTTGTGATGATGCTTCTTGGGGCCCAGAACCTATTGACACGTTGAAGTTAATGTTTCTTTGATACCTTTCCAGCTATCCTCCATAGTAGTTTCTTCTTCCTTCAATAGATCCTGTAAGGCTTGGGACCTGTTGTTGAGAGCTACCTTGAATTCATTGAGTTTGTCAGTATCTCGAAGGAAGGCTGTATTGAACCTTTGTGGTGCTGTTTGTCCAGTTGTCCAGTTCTTCTTTAGCTTCAGTTTCAATTTGGCCACAACCAGGTGATGATCTGAAGCTATGTCCGCTCCTCTCCTGGTTTTCACATCTTCCATTGTCCTTCGGAACTTTTTATTGATGCAAATGTGATCTATCTGGTTCTCTGAGGTGTGGTCCGGTGAGATCCACGTAGCTTTGTGTATACGTTTGTGTGGAAATGTTGTACCGCCTATGACTAATTCATTGAATGCACACAGATTTGCAAATCTTTCCCCGTTTTCGTTTCTCTCTCCCAGTCCATGTAGTCCCATGATGTCTTCATATCCGGTGTTGTCCATTCCGACTTTGGCGTTTAGATCTCCCATCAGAATGGTGAGGTCCTTTCTTGGGCACTTCTCTATGATTGATTGCAGCCTCTCATAGAATTGATCTTTAACGTCGTCGTTGCTATCATTGGTGGGTGCATAACATTGGATAATGTTCATTGTGATCCCCTCCTTCTTTGTTTTGAATGATGCTTTGATGATTCTGGATCCGTGAGATTCCCATCTTACAAGTGCATTTCGTGCTACTTTGGATAGCATTAGAGCAACTCCCTGAGTGTGTGGAGCATTTTCCTCTTCGTGACCGGAGTATAGCAGCATCTCTCCCGTATTTAGCCTTTGTTGTCCAGCTTGGCTCCAATGGGTTTCACTGATTCCCAGTACTGCCAAGTTGTATCTCCTCATTTCCGTTGCTATTTGACTGGTCTTCCCGGTCTCCCACATTGTCCGGACGTTCCATGTACCTATAAAAAATTGTTGCTCTGGTTGTTAGAAGGGGCATCGGCCTCGTGGCTTCCGAAGGAACTCGGCTTTCACCATGAAGCGTCATATTACCTCTAACTCCCAGGGCAGAGTTTAAATGGTTTGAGTTATTTTTTCTGGTTAGCGGTTTTTTAGCGAGTTAGGTTTCTACGGGATGGGGACGCTAACCCCATGCCCAACTCTCCTCCTTTACCCGGGCTTGGGACCGGCAGTAACTCTGGAAGAGCTACAGGCGGACTTTATTGAGTAGAAAGAAGAACTTAATTCATTCTTTATCCTCTAGGATCAAGCGAATCTGTTCCATTGACACAATAGATGAGGAACTAATTCAACTTCGACAAACGCTCATAAGAAATGATTATCCACCTAGATTCGTCGATAGTAACTTAACATCTAGAATTCATCATGAGAAAGTATCAACAGTACAGAAGAAAACCTTGTTTATGAATATGGAATTTAAAGGAGACACGGCTGCTGAAATCTTAAATAAACGGATTTCAAAATCATTGAATAAAACTTTCTACACAGCAAAGCTCCGAATTGTTTTCTCAAGCCGGCCTATGATTCCTGGATGTGTTAAAGATAAACTTTCGCTTTGGGCCACATCAATGTGTATTTATAAATTTACGTGCTCATGTGGGGCTCGTTACATAGGCTGAACAAAGCTATCGCTGTCCAAACGCATCTCAGAACACTATCCGGCTTGGCTTTTAAAAGGAGAATGTAAGACAATCACTAGTTCTATACAAGAGCATTTAATCAATTTAGGACAAGTATTCTTCCTTTAAAGTGATCTACAGAGTCAAAAGAATTGGATCGAAGGGGTGTCGAATCAATATATTATGCACTGTTGAGGCACTGGCAATTCACGAACTCAAGCCCGAACTTTGCGTGCAGAAACGATTTGTCCAACCTCTCATCCTTCCTTGGCCCTAATTCCCTTAATGGGTATGTTACTGTTTTTTCTTTGTTTTTTCTGCACTTTTATTTGATTATTATTGAATATTTTGCAATTTTAAACTCTAATCATTTATCATTATTACCTTATCCAAGTTTTCATGATTATTATTCAGTTTATTATTATAACCTTTGTGTTTGTCGCCTTTCTTCATATTTGTCAATTGGACTATTATCTGACCTATAAACGATTTTCTTCCTTACCCCTTGATTAGTACATAATCTCATCTGTTATTTAGTCTCGAATCCATTTTGGTGATACAATCCTTTCTATCCTCCAATAGACATACATTTTCCATATCTAACTATATATACGAATGTAAAGCTTAAGTAAATGATTTCGTCGAAAAGAAAATTTTCTTCGCTGATTTCTCTTTTTCTTATTCAATGGGTTTTTGATTTCACACTTTCAAATATCTTTCTTTGTATAGATCTGTCGTTCACAGACCAATTTGCGTCACTACGGATTATCATCGAACAATTATGTCAATTGAACTCATCAGTGTACATCAAAATCATTAGCAAAATAAGAGCCGCATTCGTATAATTGAAGAACATATGGGACTCAAAATAACTTTCAACCAATATCAAAGTCAGAATCTTCAATAAGAACGTGAAGACATTCCTACTCTAGGAAGCTGAAACATGGAGAACTACTACAACCATCATCAAGGTAGTTGCAAACTTACTTACGCCTTTTACTCCTCGTGAAGGAGAGTATGCCGCTCACCAGCCTTCCATCGAGGTGGTACATGAATTATAATTAGTTGTCTATGCAAGATAGTTAACATTCATTGGCCGTATACCGTAAGCAACAGCATTCTGTGGGTGAGGACAAACTAACAAAAAGAGTAAAGCGGAGGAACAAATTTGGTCGAGAAATCAAAGAACATATGAAAAGGATGAATACTAACTGCAAATGACTGGATAAGATTGATCAGGAAACGGTTGGATCGGGAGTGCAAATGGGCGACCTATGCTCAACCACGAAGGAAAACGGGCTTAAGTAAGTAAGTAAATAAGTAAGTTCTATAGTTAATTGATAGGTTCTTTTTATTCAGTTTTCAGTCGAAATTTCTTTGTTAAGATAAAACTAAAATGATATTCAGCACATGGTATAAGCATGTTGAACAAATACATCAACCTACAAGGTAATTAATTAAGTACTTGTTAACACGAGGCAGTGTATATTCCATCGTAGTGTGGTTTTCACATCTTCAACTATGGTCAACAGATATTGCAACGAAATGTCACAAATAGAATTTCAAAGAAAATTACACTGATCGTTTTACTTCTTAAGCTCAATCAATCCACAATGCTCTCAGTACTATAATCAACTAATGACATTCTAACATAAAATCACACTGGACATCTCAATAACCACAACTAGATCGATTCCTCATTCCTATCACACTTTCACCTTAAAAACACTCTGAAGAGATGAAAACCATCTATCCTGAAATGTAATCAATTAGAGTAATAATCTACTTTCGATCAAGTAACTTGTATTCGTTGTACAAACACTTCGGATCTGATTGGCTGATATTCTCTAGTTGAATATATCCTATCGATTGCGTTGAAGAGACGAAACGTTGTTCCCCTCATTTGTTTCTACATACCCCTCACACTCCAGTAACAATTTGATTTCAACAAAGTAAATATGAAACAAATTCATTATTCAATTGATAAGAATGGTGTATAATGGTGTACAAATAAGTAAGATCAAATGAAAATAGAATGAGTAGTGAATAAATAATGATTCGGTTGATTGATTGACATTAGGTTCAATGGAATATCTTCTTTACATTTGACCTCAATTAGACGATTATGCAGATATAACATTGTCACCTTCAAATTTACGTATTCTAATAATTGACAAGATCAAGTAGACAGCTTGAATAATCCCGAATGTGAAACACAGATACATGATTATATTTAGATAAGTTTGTGTATATTCAATTATCGCTGATACACATCCCTATGAAATGATGAGAGAGAGTGAGTAAAGAATCACAATGAAATGTTTATCATTGAATCAATGTAAATGGATAATTGAAATGTGAAGCGTAGTGAAAGTGATTAGACTGTGATGTTGTTGTGAATGAAAATAAGACTGAGTTAAATGTAGAACTGTGTTGTGACAGACAACAATGTGTTGTTGCTGTGTCGTTAGAGCAGTTCAGTGAGTTTGAGTTGATTGTTTTGATTTTACCACTAGTCACTCACTAGTATGATTGAGTTATAGTGTGCTTCGAAATAGTGTTCTGATGATACGTACATAAGTGTCATTAATGACAACAACTTCAATGGATTGAATGTCAACTAATCTTCAAATACGGAACTCTTATGGATATTCATGTGTGTTATTGAAAACCGCGTAATCAAGATGATTGCATATGTCTAGATGAATAGCATTAAGCAATTGATCCTACATCAGAAATCACCAAGCAACATGTTAACAAATGTTCTTGAAACTTGCTCGAAATTCTACTCAATAAACAAAATTATTCCATGTGATAGTTGACTGCACGTGTTCCTAGAGAGTGATGTGAGCATTTATCATTCAGTTGTAAACCGTACGAGAATAGCAAAATGCATATTTTGTGGGGATTGTTAAACTGATGAAATGAGGTAAGTTAATTGATTAAAAATTCACAAAATTTTGACTTACTCTGGGAAATGGTGATATACCGTATTTACATGAAGGAGGTAACTGTCTTATCTTAGCTTTAAAGGGATAGTCTTTATACGATGATGCTCCACAGCAGAAGAACTATAGGCAAGAAATCATCAAAATTTTTAGTTAGATTTTAATTTACATTCTTTTGTAATTCATCAAACTCCATTTGACACTCAACTCGTTTCTCATATTCTATAATAGTAGAACTTAGTGAGCTGTTAGCTGACGTAGGGAACTATAGTGAAAAGAAGATCAATGTTGCAGGGTCAATTAGGTTTACTTAATATCAAACTAACCCCGTCCTCCGTTGCAGCTACTTTCGATGCCATACCAATCCACATACAAGTCACTACAAGCAGAACGAAAATGTTCTAAACACATGCATGAGTGAAATACATTCGTCCACATTGCATGTATCACTCACCAAATATATGATCATTTTCTGTTTCTTGAAGTGTCCATAAATTCCAACAAATGATCCTAGTATACCGAGACCTCCTGAGATACTGACAGCGAGGAAGATCGCAGGTTTCGCACTTTGTAGTATAGTTTTGAATTGATTTAATGTGATTTGTGGATAAATTCCGAGTCCTAACAGAACAATACCGAACACCTAGATTGTTTAAGTAAGATCAAATGAACCATATGAGGAGAACACATGTAATGATACTTACTACAAAACTACAATTGCACAAGATAAATATTTTCGTCCAAGATTCACTTGACAATAACATTTCAATATTGTTCACTCAGATGATGATGATGCTGATGATGATGATGATATTTTGTATGATGTTTGTAGTACTGGTAATAAATGTGAGTCAATTGTATGTTTCTTTCACTTTCAGTCTGAATTGTCACCAATTATCAAGTCAAATGATAAAATTAAGTAGGATTCGTCTGAATTAATTTATTAATTGTACTGTGTATTTCTAATAGGAATTCATGCACAAACAAAGTTAACTTACTTAATTCTAATGCACTAATTAATCACATCAACATCAACATCATCATCATCATCCTCACTATGGTTCAGTATCATTTTATTATTATTATTATTATTATTATTATCAAATTCAAAGGTATACAACTTGCTATTCTAAGTAGTTAAAATTGTATGTGTGTGTATGTATGTTTCTGCATGTCTTAATGGTAGTTGTGATATAGTGAACAAGGATATTACAGAACATGCTTTCAAAATATTTGATAACCATTAGGTATATAGTACATTTGCAATGTGTCAATTCATTTTCTCAAACTTGACTGCACCTTCTGCAAACGTCAATCAATGATCTCGGAATTCATTGTTCTTTCGGTTGCACACTAATCATTGTTTGTTTACATTCTCTTTTGATTGTTCGTCTCAACCTCCTCTTTACAGGTATTCCACTTTCGATTGATCATACATGCTACTTACATCTGTCAACATCAGTAGCATACACCTGTCGTGGTCATACAGAGCTGACATGGACATTATGAGTGTTTGGATAGTCAGCATGTGCAACTGATTTCGCTCAATTATCACAGGTTACTGTTCATTCAAAAACATGAGGACATGTTTCAAAATAAAGATAGATGATTGATCAAGATAACGTTGAGGAACATTCTGTATGAGGATAAAGTACAATAAGAAAGAATTAGTTTGTGGAAAGTAAGATATAATGCAATTTTAATCTCACAGTTTAAGGGAAGACAGAGAGTGTATACACTCACACCATTGTGATAGATTCTCAGCCATGTCACACACAGTCTCCAACCATAGAGAATGACATTCACGCGGACCACAACCAAGTAATCTGCATCTGCCAACATGGCTCAGACTAGAAGTTAGTGACTTCAAACACTGATGCCACGTTTCGAATTCGGTCGAACCTAAGACTGCATTTTATCAGCGTCTTCACCAAACAGGAAGTTGACGAAGAGTGATGAATTCCATTCAATTAATTGTTCCACAATGACATGTAGTGTTGCGATTTGGTCAGTACACGATCAATACTTACGGAATGCAGACTGTCGAACTCGAAGTTGGGCGTCTATGGAGTATTTTATTCTCGTTAACAACACCATATTGAATAATTTCGCTGATATTGAGAGGACAGTGATGCCTCTGTATTTGTCACACTTGCTGTTGTCGCCTTTCTTTGGTATCTTGACCAGATGTCCTTCTTTGTAGTCTGTTGGCACTGTCAGTGACAAGTTCACATAAAGGTTAATGGTGAGGAATGTAGTCAGAAAACCCATTCGGGGAAAACAACTACGCTAAATAACTCTAACAAGAAAAAATCACTTAAAAATTTTAAACTCTACCCTGACAGTTGAAGTATCTTCATTTACATGAAGTATGATGAATCATTATGAAATCGAAAATTCCTCGGCAGTCACGAGACCGATGTCCCCTCCAAAATCAGATCAACAATTCATATAGATACATGAAATACACAGAAAGCCTGTGAGACCAAGTTGATCTTTCATGTTGTTCCGAAAATTGCAGATACAACCTGACAGTGCTCGAAATACGTGAAACGCATTAGACCGGAGCTGCAAAGGAAAGATCAGCTTCATTAGAGTTGTTGTTGTATTTTAGTCACGAAGAAGAAAATGCATTTCACACTTAAAATGTTGTTCTACGGCTGTCCATTGAAGCACGAAATGCACTTATAGCATGAGAATCTCATGAATTTCAATGATCCAACATCACTAAAACATTGTTCAAAACAGAGATGGATGGGATCACAATCAGTGTTGTCAAATTGACGTGTCTATTTCAAATACATACCCAACTAACATTTAAACATGTGATTTCGTCAAGGAATTGTTTTCCATTTCGACAATCGTAGTTCATATTCTGAACTGATTTCCCTAAATAATCATTGAAAGTCAAGAAGTATTGAACATCCATTCCATCCTAGTATGAGATTCCTGAACATTTCTCTCCCATCATCTCACCGACGATCATTCAGATAAGTCAAAATAACTGGAAAGGAGCTGGACATTTTCATCACAGCAGTATGTAAAAAACAATGTAAAGAAGTTGTGCAAATATGTACTCAATGTATGATTTGCATAGTTTTTGCAAAATCCATGAGACGAGGTTTATTAGAGATGTTGTTGTATTCTGATCATGAAGAAGAAAATGCATTTCACACTTAAAATGTTGTTCCACTGCTGTCCATTGAAGTAAGACAGGCACTGATAGCATGAGAATCTCATGAATTTCAAAGATCCAGCACGACCGAAACATTGTTCAAAACAGAGATGGATGGGATCACAATGAGTGTTGTCCAGTGCTGTGCACTCACAAATAAAAGTGAAGAACACGATGAGTTTCAGTTTTATGAATGTTGGTGGTCGACCATGACGAAGTGTCAAGTGAAGAACGTGAACATGCTTAGGGTGAATAAAACACATAATCTGGAATGGACAACATCGCGTATGAAGATATCATGTGACGACATGAACTGATTGGGAGAAAGAAACGAGAATGGTCTGTGATTTGTAAATTAATGAGCGTTCATCAACATGGTTATAGATATCACTGCATTACGCCCTCTCGAACACATACACCAAGCTACGTGGGTCTCACCGGATCACACTACACAGAACAAGATTGATCATATGCCATCAATAGAATGCTCTGAAGGTAGGGTATGAGATGTGATAGTTCTCACAATGTGTTGGGTCTCAAGAAGTATTCTCGTGACGAATGAATATCTGTCGATACGGTTGACCTATTTCAACGCACAATCAAGTTTATTAATTATTTGCTTGATTGATTGATTGATTGAGTGATTGATGAAACGTTTATTACAAATTCACTGATGTGTGGTAGGAATGTGTGTTCTCTTCATGTTACAAACCATGTCATTTACGGAAGTTCCATCTTAATCGATCAATAACTAGTAATGCAGAGCTACTAATGAAATTTATAATCCAACTGGTTTCAATGTTACCGGTTGATGAATTCACGGCTATGCGATTTCCTTTGAGAAATGATTTGGAACTGATATATTTTTACTATCAACTAGTTTACATAGATTTAAAGCCTTTCAATATTCAATCCACACTGCATGGATTATGAGATATTTTGAAATTGTAAAAGCCAGTTTTGAAATCCCATCATTGTTCATCGATTACAGTGACTGATAACATCACTAATTTCTCACTGATTTACACAGAATGAAACACGACTGAATGAATCAGTATTTCAGTAGTAAGACTCCATACATCCTGATAAAATGTAAAACTGTAATGAAGTTAGCTTAACATTTGTCTTTACATCTACATCGAATCAATTATTCACCGAATCCTTGACGAAATCATATTTTGAAGTGTTAGTTAGATATGTATTTGAAATAGACACGTCAATTTTATCAGTTTGTACAATAGTATTTCGATATGTATGATAGAACAATGAATGGATTTGTGGTTCCATAACTTCAAATGTCTCTCTTTGTGTGGATCGGTCGTTCACAGACCAATTCGCGTCACTACGGATCATCGTTGAACAATTATTTCAATTGAACTCATCAGTATACATCAAAATCCTTGGGAATGTTAGAGCCTCATTCTTATAATTGGAGAACATATGGGACTCAAAACAACTTTCAACCAATATCAAAGTAACAATTTTCAATATGATCGTCAAGACAATTCTACTATACGGAGCTGAAATGTGAAGAACTTCTAAAACCATTGTCAAGAATGTTCAAGTATTTATAAATAGTTTTCTATGCAAGATACTCAACTTCTATTGGTCGAAGAACACATTTCGACGAGAAATCAAAGAAGATATGAAAAGGATGAATACTAACTGCAAATGTCTGGATATGATTGCTCAGGAATATACCGTAGTCCATGTTGTCTTGCTGACGACTTTATCCTAAGACACATCGGTTCTTGGAGTATGGCAGAATGTTGGCTCAACAATGAGGATTTCAACGCACCGCACATCAACTGGATAGAGCTTACAGCTTCAAGTGGATTTTTCGATAGCGAACTTTTATCAACTGTTATTCAGTGTGCACTTGTACAATGTATCACAAAACCGACACATATTGATTTGAAACATGATTCGTCATTGAAAGACCTCGTTCTCACCCACCATTGTGAGGATGTTGTAGTGTCTGTTATTATGTTAAGCCCAAATACCTTGTTCTAATTTTCGGACAGCCCATTCTATTCATTCTATTTTAGTCACATTTTGATCATGTTAATTATTCGCTAATCTATCTTGACTGTTTTTGTATGAGCGCGTAGGCGTGTGTGATTTATTTTTGTGTGCTTATAAATATCGATTAACGCTTAGTTAATGGGGAGTCGGCTTACCAGCCATCTCCACCGCGCGTCAATTTAGCTTCGCTTTCTCATCTTCGCATTGTTCTCAGGTTCGTTTGTCTGGATCAACGATTATACAAAATATATACATTCAAAAGTCCATTCTCGTTATTTGACTTGATTAATTCCGTTATAGACTAACGCGATTTACGTCAATGATTATATACGAGGATAGGCAATAACAAACATTCATGCGTTCAAATTGGAGACATATTAAGGGCCACTAAAATGTCTTTGATATTCAGCACCTTCCCTCACTAGTGAACAGTGATCACGTTGTACTTCACATTAAGTTTAGAACACATGGTATACGATTTGTATCTGCTCCACCCCGTCCCAATATCTGGCGGGCTAATATTCCGGCAATCAGAGACTGTGCTATCTCGACGAATGGAATAAGTTTAAGGCTACATTTGAGTCCGTAACGTCGCTGTTTATCTGATGGTCAGCACGTAAGCTATCGCATTGTCCTCCACGGATTAATATGGAAACCTGGAGGATGTTAAAGCGTAGGAAACACTTCTGGGATTTATTCTTGTTGACAGGTCATGCATGATTTAATCGTGAGTACCAAAACTCCGGAATATTTGTAAGAAAACCATAGCTAAATCACGTACTACTTACGAACGACAGTTGGTTTATGATAGCCATACTTGTCCGAAACGATTGTCTTCGTATGTTAAACGGCGAACATAATGTAGTGATGTTATTCCCCCGTTATTGTTACACGATAATTCAGATTTACTAGCTGAATCAGATCGGGCCAAAGCTGAGACTTTTTCAAACTAATTTAGCGGAGTCTACTCTACGTTTATTGTAACAAATGCTTGTCCCAATCACACCGATATATCAGCCATCGTATCTGTACAGGCATTTCGTATCTTTAATTATGATTTGGGCGTCATTATGTCTTATCTTTTTGCTCCCTCCATCACTAATAATCTCCGAGGTCATAGCAACAAAGTTCATAAACCGCGATCTAATAAACTCAAAGTCGGTTTCCGTTTTTCTCATCGAGTAGTGAATGATTGGAACGCCTTGATCGAACAAGTGGTATCAGCCACATCAGTGAATATTTTCAAGGAGAAACTGGAGCTTCACTAGAAGGCAATCTGTTAGGATTAACACAGATTCATCAAACTACTATCCTTAGTACTGAAGACTGAAGGACAGGGTTGTATGTGGAGTGCGATTGAGCGTCCGATGCTCCTTCAAGAGAGGAAACAGGCTTAAGTAATTAAGTAAGTTCTATGGTTAAATGATAGGTTCGTTTTAGTCAGTTTTCAGTCGAAATATCTTTGTTAAGATAAAACTAAAATGATATTCAGCACATGGTATAAGCATGTTGAACTAATACATCAACCTACAAGGAAATGAAGTTAGTACTTGTTAACACGAGGCAGTGTATATTCCATCGTAGTGTGGTTTTCACATCTTCAACTATGGTCAAGAGATATTGCAACGAAATGTCACAAATAGAATTTCAAAGAAAATTACACTGATGTTTTTACTTCTTAAGCTCAATCAATCCACAATGCTCTCAGTACTATAATCAACTAATGACATTCTAACATAAAATCACACTGGATCTCGCAATAACCACAACTAGATCGATTCCTCATTCCTATCACACTTTCACCTTAAAAACACTCTGAAGAGATGAAAACCATCTATCCTGAAATGTAATCAATTAGAGTAATAATCTACTTTCGATCAAGTAACTTGTATTCGTTGTACAAACACTTCGGATCTGATTGGCTGATATTCTCTAGTTGAATATATCCTATCGATTGCGTTGAAGAGACGAAACGTTGTTCCCCTCATTTGTTTCTACATACCCCTCACACTCCAGTAACAATTTGATTTCAACAAAGTAAATATGAAACAAATTCATTATTCAATTGATAAGAATGGTGTATAATGGTGTACAAATAAGTAAGATCAAATGACAATAGAATGAGTAGTGAATAAATAATGATTCGGTTGATTGATTGACATTAGATTCAATGGAATATCTTCTTTACATTTGACCTCAATTAGACGATTATGCAGATATAACATTGTCACCTTCAAATTTACGTATTCTAATAATTGACAAGACCAAGTAGACAGCTTGAATAATCCCGAATGTGAAACACAGATACATGATTATATTTAGATAAGTTTGTGTATATTCAATTATCGCTGATACACATCCCTATGAAATGATGAGAGAGAGTGAGTAAAGAATCACAATGAAATGTATATCATTGAATCAATGTAAATGGATAATTGAAATGTTAAGCGTAGTGAAAGTGATTAGACTGTGATGTTGTTGTGAATGAAAATAAGACTGAGTTAAATCTAGAACTATGTTGTGACAGACATCAATGTGTTGTTGCTGTGTCGTTAGAGCAGTTCAGTGAGTTTGAGTTGATTGTTTTGATTTTACCACTAGTCACTCACTAGTATGATTGAGTTATAGTGTGCTTCGAAATAGTGTTCTGATGATACGTACATAAGTGTCATTAATGACAACAACTTCAATGGATTGAATGTCAACTAATCTTCAAATACGGAACTCTTATGGATATTCATGTGTGTTATTGAAAACCGCGTAATCAAGATGATTGCATATGTCTAGATGAATAGTATTAAGCAATCGATCCTACATCGGAAATCACTATGCAACATGTTAACAAACGTTCTTGAAACTTGCTCGAAATTCTAATCAATAAACAAAATTATTCCATATGATAGTTGACTGCACGTGTTCCTAGAGAGTGATGTGAGCATTTATCATTCAGTTGTAAGCCGTACGAAAATAGCAAAATGCATATTTTGTGGGGATTGTTAAACTGATGAAATCAGGTAATTTAATTGATTAAAAATTCACAAAATTTTGACTTACTCTGGGAAATGGTGATATACCGTATTTACATGAAGGAGGTAACTGTCTCAACTTTATAGGGATAGTCTCTATACGATGATGCTCCACAGCAGAAGAACTATAGGCAAGAAATCATCAAAATTTTTAGTTAGATTTTAATTTACACTCTTTTGTAATTCATCAAACTCCATTTGACATTCAACTCGTTTCTCATATTCTAAAACAGTAGAACTTAGCGAGCTGTTAGCTAACGTAGGGAACTATAGTGAAATGAAGATCAATGTTGCAGGGTCAATTAGGTTCAAATAATTTCGAACAAACCCCGTCCTCCGTTGCAGCTACTTTCGACGCCATACCAATCCACATACAAGTCACCACAAGCAGAACGAAAATGTTCTAAACACAGGCATGAGTGAAATACATTCGTCCACATTGCATGTATCACTCACCAAATATATGATCATTTTCTGTTTCTTGAAGTGTCCATAAATTCCAACAAATGATCCTAGTATACCGAGACCTCCTGAGATACTGACAGCGAGGAAGATCGCAGGTTTCGCACTTTGTAGTATTGTTTTGAATTGATTTAATGTGATTTGTGGATAAATTCCGAGTCCTAACAGAACAATACCGAACACCTAGATTGTTTAAGTAAGATCAAATGAACCATATGAGGAGAACACATGTAATGATACTTACTACAAAACTACAATTGCACAAGATAAATATTTTCGTCCAAGATTCACTTGACAATAACATTTCAATATTGTTCACTCAGATGATGATGATGCTGATGATGATGATGATATTTTGTATGATGTATGTAGTACTGGTAATAAATGTGAGTCAATTGTATCTTTCTTTCACTTTCAGTCTGAATTGTCACCAATTATCAAGTCAAATGATAAAATTAAGTAGGATTCGTCTGAATTAATTTATTAATTGTACTGTGTATTTCTAATAGGAATTCATGCACAAACAAAGTTAACTTACTTAATTCTAATGCACTAATTAATCACATCAACATCAACATTATCATCATCATCATCCTCACTATGGTTCAGTATCATTTTATTATTATTATTATTATTATCAAATTCAAAGGTATACAACTTGCTATTCTAAGTAGTTAAAATTGTATGTGTGTGTATGTATGTTTCTGCATGTCTTAATGGTAGTTGTGATATAGTGAACAAGGATATTACAGAACATGCTTTCAAAATATTTGATAACCATTAGGTATATAGTACATTTGCAATGTGTCAATTCATTTTCTCAAACTTGACTGCACCTTCTGCAAACGTCAATCAATGATCTCGGAATTCATTGTTCTTTCGGTTGCACACTAATCATTGTTTGTTTACATTCTCTTTTGATTGTTCGTCTCAACCTCCTCTCTTCAGGTATTTCACTTTCGATTGATCATACATGCTACTTACATCTGTCAACATCAGTAGCATACACCTGTCGTGGTCATACAGAGCTGACATGGACATTATGAGTGTTTGGATAGTCAGCATGTGCAACTGATTTCGCTCAATTATCACAGGTTACTGTTCATTCAAAAACATGAGGACATGTTTCAAAATAAAGATAGATGATTGATCAAGATAACGTTGAGGAACATTCTGTATTAGGATAAAGTACATTAAGAAAGAATTAGTTTGTGGAAAGTAAGATATAATGCAATTTTAATCTCACAGTTTAAGGGAAGACAGAGAGTGTATACACTCACACCATTGTGATAGATTCTCAGCCATGTCACACACAGTCTCCAACCATAGAGAATGACATTCACGCGGACCACAACCAAGTAATCTGCATCTGCCAACATGGCTCAGACTAGAAGTTAGTGACTTCAAACACTGATGCCACGTTTCGAATTCGGTCGAACCTAAGACTGCATTTTATCAGCGTCTTCACCAAACAGGAAGTTGACGAAGAGTGATGAATTCCATTCAATTAATTGTTCCACAATGACATGTAGTGTTGCGATTTGGTCAGTACACGATCAATACTTACGGAATGCAGACTGTCGAACTCGAAGTTGGGCGTCTATGGAGTATTTTATTCTCGTTAACAACACCATATCGAATAATTTCGCTGATATTGAGAGGAGAGTGATGCCTCTGTATTTGTCACACTTGCTGTTGTCGCCTTTCTTTGGTATCTTGACCAGATGTCCTTCTTTGTAGTCTGTTGGCACTGTCAGTGCCAAGTTCACATAAAGGTTAATGGTGAGGAATGTAGTCAGAAAACCCATTCGGGGAAAACAACTACGCTAAATAACTCTAACAAGAAAAAATCACTTAAAAATTTTAAACTCTACCCTGACAGTTGAAGTATCTTCATTTACATGAAGTATGATGAATCATTATGAAATCGAAAATTCCTCGGCAGTCACGAGACCGATGTCCCCTCCAAAATCAGATCAACAATTCATATAGATACATGAAATACACAGAAAGCCTGTGAGACCAAGTTGATCTTTCATGTTGTTCCGAAAATTGCAGATACAACCTGACAGTGCTCGAAATACGTGAAACGCATTAGATCGGAGCTGCAAAGGAAAGATCAGCTTCATTAGAGTTGTTGTTGTATTCTAGTCATGAAGAAGAAAATGCATTTCACACTTAAAATGTTGTTCCATTGCTGTCCATTGAAGCACGAAACGCACTTATAGCATGAGAATCTCATGAATTTCAATGATCCAACATCACTAAAACATTGTTCAAAACAGAGATGGATGGGATCACAATCAGTGTTGTCAAATTGACGTGTCTATTTCAAATACATACCCAACTAACATTTAAACATGTGATTTCGTCAAGGAATTGTTTTCCATTTCGACAATCGTAGTTCCTATTCTGAACTGATTTCCCTAAATAATCATTGAAAGTCAAGAAGTATTGAACATCCATTCCATCCTAGTATGAGATTCCTGAACATTTCTCTCCCATCATCTCACCGACGATCATTCAGATAAGTCAAAATAACTGGAAAGGAGCTGGACATTTTCATCACAGCAGTATGTAAAAAACAATGTAAAGAAGTTGTGCAAATATGTACTCAATGTATGATTTGCATAGTTTTTGCAAAATCCATGAGACGAGGTTTATTAGAGATGTTGTTGTATTCTGATCATGAAGAAGAAAATGCATTTCACACTTAAAATGTTGTTCCACTGCTGTCCATTGAAGTAAGACAGGCACTGATAGCATGAGAATCTCATGAATTTCAAAGATCCAGCACGACCGAAACATTGTTCAAAACAGAGATGGATGGGATCACAATGAGTGTTGTCCAGTGCTGTGCACTCACAAATAAAAGTGAAGAACACGATGAGTTTCAGTTTTATGAATGTTGGTGGTCGACCATGACGAAGTGTCAAGTGAAGAACGTGAACATGCTTAGGGTTAAGAAAACACATAATCTGGAATGGACAACATCGCGTATGAAGATATCATGTGACGACATGAACTGATTGGGAGAAAGAAACGAGAATGGTCTGTGATTTGTAAATTAATGAGCGTTCATCAACATGGTTATAGATATCACTGCATTACGCCCTCTCGAACACATACACCAAGCTACGTGAGTCTCACCGGATCACACTACACAGAACAAGATTGATCATATGCCATCAATAGAATGCTCTGAAGGTAGGGTATGAGATGTGATAGTTCTCACAATGAGTTGGGTCTCAAGAAGTATTCTCGTGACGAATGAATATCTGTCGATACGGTTGACCTATTTCAACGCACAATCAAGTTTATTAATTATTTGCTTGATTGATTGATTGATTGAGTGATTGATGAAACGTTTATTACAAATTCACTGATGTGTGGTAGGAATGTGTGTTCTCTTCATGTTACAATCCATGTCATTTACGGAAGTTCCATCTTAATCGATCAATAACTAGTAATGCAGAGCTACTAATGAAATTTATAATCCAACTGGTTTCAATGTTACCGGTTGATGAATTCACGGCTATGCGATTTCCTTTGAGAAGTGAATTGGAACTGGGATATTTGTACTACCAACTAGTTTTCATAGATTTAAAGCCTTTCAATATTCAATCCACACGGGATGGATTATGAGATATTTTGACATTGCAAAAGCAAGTTTTGAAATCCCATCATTGTTCATCGATTACAGTGACTGATAACATCACTGATTTCTCACTGATTTACACAGAATGAAACACGACTGAATGAATCAGTATTTCAGTAGTAAGACTCCATACATCCTGATAAAATGTAAAACTGTAATGAAGTTAGCTTAACATTTGTCTTTACATCTACATCGAATCAATTATTCACCGAATCCTTGACGAAATCATATTTTGAAGTGTTAGTTAGATATGTATTTGAAATAGACACGTCAATTTTATCAGTTTGTACAATAGTATTTCGATATGTATGATAGAACAATGAATGGATTTGTGGTTCCATAACTTCAAATGTCTCTCTTTGTGTGGATCGGTCGTTCACAGACCAATTCGCGTCACTACGGATCATCGTTGAACAATTATTTCAATTGAACTCATCAGTATACATCAAAATCCTTGGGAATGTTAGAGCCTCATTCTTATAATTGGAGAACATATGGGACTCAAAACAACTTTCAACCAATATCAAAGTAACAATTTTCAATATGAACGTCAAGACAATTCTACTATACGGAGCTGAAATGTGAAGAACTTCTAAAACCATTGTCAAGAATGTTCAAGTATTTATAAATAGTTGTCTATGCAAGATACTCAACTTCTATTGGTCGAAGAACACATTTCGACGAGAAATCAAAGAAGATATGAAAAGGATGAATACTAACTGCAAATGTCTGGATATGATTGCTCAGGAATATACCGTAGTCCATGTTGTCTTGCTGACGACTTTATCCTAAGACACATCGGTTCTTGGAGTATGGCAGAATGTTGGCTCAACAATGAGGATTTCAACGCACCGCACATCAACTGGATAGAGCTTACAGCTTCAAGTGGATTTTTCGATAGCGAACTTTTATCAACTGTTATTCAGTGTGCACTTGTACAATGTATCACAAAACCGACACATATTGATTTGAAACATGATTCGTCATTGAAAGATCTCGTTCTCACCCACCATTGTGAGGATGTTGTAGTGTCTGTTATTATGTTAAGCCCAAATACCTTGTTCTAATTTTCGGACAGCCCATTCTATTCATTCTATTTTAGTCACATTTTGATCATGTTAATTATTCGCTAATCTATCTTGACTGTTTTTGTATGAGCGCGTAGGCGTGTGTGATTTATTTTTGTGTGCTTATAAATATCGATTAACGCTTAGTTAATGGGGAGTCGGCTTACCAGCCATCTCCACCGCGCGTCAATTTAGCTTCGCTTTCTCATCTTCGCATTGTTCCCAGGTTCGTTTGTCTGGATCAACGATTATACAAAATATATACATTCAAAAGTCCATTCTCGTTATTTGACTTGATTAATTCCGTTATAGACTAACGCGATTTACGTCAATGATTATATACGAGGATAGGCAATAACAAACATTCATGCGTTCAAATTGGAGACATATTAAGGGCCACTAAAATGTATTTGATATTCAGTACCTTCCCTCACTAGTGAACAGTGATCACGTTGTACTTCACATTAAGTTTAGAACACATGGTATACGATTTGTATCTGCTCCACCCCGTCCCAATATCTGGCGGGCTAATATTCCGGCAATCAGAGACTGTGCTATCTCGACGAATGGAATAAGTTTAAGGCTACATTCGAGTCCGTAACGTCGCTGTTTATCTGATGGTCAGCACGTAAGCTATCGCATTGTCCTCCACGGATTAATATGGAAACCTGGAAGATGTTAAAGCGTAGGAAACACTTCTGGGATTTATTCTTGTTGACAGGTCATGCATGATTTAAGCGTGAGTACCAAAACTCCGGAATATTTGTAAGAAAACCATAGCTAAATCACGTACTACTTACGAACGACAGTTGGTTTATGATAGCCATACTTGTCCGAAACGATTGTCTTCGTATGTTAAACGGCGAACATAATGTAGTGATGTTATTCCCCCGTTATTGTTACACGATAATTCAGATTTACTAGCTGAATCAGATGGAGCCAAAGCTGAGACTTTTTCAAACTATTTTAGCGGAGTCTACTCTACGTTTATTGTAACAAATGCTTGTCCCAATCACACCGATATATCAGCCATCGAATCTGTACAGGTGACTGAGGAAACTGTACTTCCGTTGATAACTAACCTCAAACCTGGTAAGATACCGGGTCTTGACGGGTTACATCCACGGCTGCTATAATCTCTTGTGGATATTATTTCAAAACCGCTCGCGACAATCTTCAATATGTCCCTTTCACTCGCTCAACTTTTTTGAGATTGAAAAGATACTATTGTCAGTCCTTTATTTAAGGATGGTCAGAGACAGACCGTATTTAACTACCGACTTGTCAGTCTGACTAGCATTGTCGTGAAGTTACTTGAAAAGATAATTCGGGTTAGGTTGCTAAGTCACATAGATTCACATAATCTGTTAGTTTCTGAGCAACATGGATTTCGTGACAAGTGTTCATGCTTGACTAACTTACTTATTGCGAGAGAGGATTGGACAGCAGCCTTAGATCAAGGTCTGTCGGTCGATATGTATTCATAAATTTCAGCGAAACATTTTACAAGATTTCACACTTAGTTCTTATACAGAATCTCGCGAGCTTCGGAATAATAGGTATTGTACAGAATTGGATAGGAAACTTCTTATGTGACCGCAGACGGAGAGTGAGGGTCGATGGGACGCTATCCGATTGTGTGCCGATCAAAAGTTTTGTACCGCAAGGCACCATCTTAGGCCATCCGCTCTTCCTTCTCCACGTAAATGAGTTACCGCTGTTGCTTAGGTCGTCGACATCATTATTTGCGGATGACGTGAAAATCTGGAGAACAATAAGAAGTGAGGCTGATCATCTGGATCTTCAAGCTGACTTAGACGATTTGGTTAAATGGACCCCAGGTTCGGCCTTAGAAACTCATTCTAGGAAGAGTGTGCTAATTCACATCGGTCACGGCAATAGTTACCATTATACTATTGATGATAAACCTCTTCCATGCGTTCAAGATTATAAAGAGTTAGGAGTAATAATAAGTCATGACCTAGAAAAAACTACGCATTGCAACGCAGCCTCTGTCAAGGGATTTGTGCGTTATGGTAACTTCGCCGAGCGTTCAAGTCTTTTGACGAGGAAATGTTTTGAATTTTATATCCCTCCTATATAAGACCATATTAAGAGTACTGCACCCAAGCAGCTAGCCCATGTCTGGAAAAGCACACTAACTTACTTGAGCGTGTCCAGCGTGTGCGAACGAAATTAGTGAAGGGTCTTTCTAAACTCCCTTACGATGAGCGTTTTGAAACACCTGAACCTTTTCCCCTTGTCGTATCGTAGGACTCGAGGTGACCGCACACTGGCATTTCCTATCTTTAATTATGATTTGGGTGTTATTATGTCTTATCTTTTTGCTCCCTCCATCACTAATAATCTCCGAGGTCATAGCAAGAAAGTTCATAAACCGCGATCTAATAAACTCAAAGTCGGTTTCCGTTTTTCTCATCGAGTAGTGAATGATTGGAACGCCTTGATCGAACAAGTGGTATCAGCCACATCAGTGAATATTTTCAAGGAGAAACTGGAGCTTCACTAGAAGGCAATCTGTTAGGATTAACACAGATTCATCAAACTACTATCCTTAGTACTGAAGACTGAAGGACAGGGTTGTATGTGGAGTGCGATTGAGCGTCCGATGCTCCTTCAAGAGAGGAAACAGGCTTAAGTAATTAAGTAAGTTCTATGGTTAAATGATAGGTTCGTTTTAGTCAGTTTTCAGTCGAAATATCTTTGTTAAGATAAAACTAAAATGATATTCAGCACATGGTATAAGCATGTTGAACTAATACATCAACCTACAAGGAAATGAAGTTAGTACTTGTTAACACGAGGCAGTGTATATTCCATCGTAGTGTGGTTTTCACATATTCAACTATGGTCAAGAGATATTGCAACGAAATGTCACAAATAGAATTTCAAAGAAAATTACACTGATCATTTTACTTCTTAAGCTCAATCAATCCACAATGCTCTCAGTACTATAATCAACTAATGACATTCTAACATAAAATCACACTGGATCTCGCAATAACCACAACTAGATCGATTCCTCATTCCTATCACACTTTCACCTTAAAAACACTCTGAAGAGATGAAAACCATCTATCCTGAAATGTAATCAATTAGAGTAATAATCTACTTTCGATCAAGTAACTTGTATTCGTTGTACAAACATTTAGGATCTGATTAGCTGATATTCTCTAGTTGAATATATCCCATCGATTGCGTTGAAGAGACGAAACGTTGTTCCCCTCTTTTGTTTCTACATACCCCTCACACTCCAGTAACAATTTGATTTCAACAAAGTAAATATGAAACAAATTCATTATTCAATTGATAAGAATGGTGTATAATGGTGTACAAATAAGTAAGATCAAATGACAATAGAATGAGTAGTGAATAAATAATGATTCGGTTGTTTGATTGACATTAGGTTCAATGGAATATCTTCTTTACATTTGACCTCAATTAGACGATTATGCAGATATAACATTGTCACCTTCAAATTTACGTATTCTAATAATTGACAAGATCAAGTAGACAGCTTGAATAATCCCGAATGTGAAACACAGATACATGATTATATTTAGATAAGTTTGTGTATATTCAATTATCGCTGATACACATCCCTATGAAATGATGAGAGAGAGTGAGTAAAGAATCACAATGAAATGTTTATCATTGAATCAATGTAAATGGATAATTGAAATGTGAAGCGTAGTGAAAGTGATTAGACTGTGATGTTGTTGTGAATGAAAATAAGACTGAGTTAAATGTAGAACTGTGTTGTGACAGACAACAATGTGTTGTTGCTGTGTCGTTAGAGCAGTTCAGTGAGTTTGAGTTGATTGTTTTGATTTTACCACTAGTCACTCACTAGTATGATTGAGTTATAGTGTGCTTCGAAATAGTGTTCTGATGATACGTACATAAGTGTCATTAATGACAACAACTTCAATGGATTGAATGTCAACTAATCTTCAAATACGGAACTCTTATGGATATTCATGTGTGTTATTGAAAACCGCGTAATCAAGATGATTGCATATGTCTAGATGAATAGCATTAAGCAATCGATCCTACATCGGAAATCACTATGCAACATGTTAACAAATGTTGTTGAAACTTGCTCGAAATTCCACTCAATAAATAAATTAATGGAAGAATGAAATTTTTCCATATGATAGTTGACTGTACGGTTTCCTGGAGAGTGATGTGAGCATTAATCATTCAGTTGTAAGCCGTATGAGAATAGCAAAATGCATATTTTGTGGGGATTGATAAACTGATGAAATGAGGTAAGTTAATTGATTAAAAATTCACAAAATATTGACTTACTCTGGGAAATGAGGATTTACCGTATTTACATGAAGTAGGTATTTGTAATATCCTACTATGATATTCTGTGTACGAATTTGCTGCACAGCAGTGAAACTAAAGACATGATATCAGCGGAATTACTGATTTGATTATAAATTACCGTCGATTGTAAATGATCAAACTCCATTTGATAATCAACTTCACTCTCATATTTTTTAATAGCAGAACTAAGCGAACTATTAACTAACATAAGGAACTATAATGATATGAAAATCATATCGTCATGATATATTAGGTTCAAATAGTATAAAACAAACCCTGTCCTCCGTTGCAGCTACTTTCGACGCCATACCAATCCACATACAAGTCACCACAAGCAGAACGAAAATGTTCTAAACACAGGCATGAGTGAAATACATTCGTCCACATTGCATGTATCACTCACCAAATATATGATCATTTTCTGTTTCTTGAAGTGTCCATAAATTCCAACAAATGATCCTAGTATACCGAGACCGCCTGAGATACTGACAGCGAGGAAGATCGCAGGTTTCGCACTTTGTAGTATAGTTTTGAATTGATTTAATGTGATTTGTGGATAAATTCCGAGTCCTAACAGAACAATACCGAACACCTAGATTGTTTAAGTAAGATCAAATGAACCATATGAGGAGAACACATGTAATGATACTTACTACAAAACTACAATTGCACAAGATAAATATTTTCGTCCAAGATTCACTTGACAATAACATTTCAATATTGTTCACTCAGATGATGATGATGATGATGATATTTTGTATGATGTATGTAGTACTGGTAATAAATGTGAGTCAATTGTATCTTTCTTTCACTTTCAGTCTGAATTGTCACCAATTATCAAGTCAAATGATAAAATTAAGTAGGATTCGTCTGAATTAATTTATTAATTGTACTGTGTATTTCTAATAGGAATTCATGCACAAACAAAGTTAACTTACTTAATTCTAATGCACTAATTAATCACATCAACATCAACATCATCATCCTCACTATGGTTCAGTATCATTTTATTATTATTATTATTAATATTATCAAATTCAAAGGTATACAACTTGCTATTCTAAGTAGTTAAAATTGTATGTGTGTGTATGTATGTTTCTGCATGTCTTAATGGTAGTTGTGATATAGTGAACGAGAACACAAGTGTTTTAAACAAGGATATTACAGAACATGCTTTCAAAATATTTGATAACCATTAGGTATATAGTACATTTGCAATGTGTCAATTCATTTTCTCAAACTTGACTGCACCTTCTGCAAACGTCAATCAATGATCTCGGAATTCATTGTTCTTTCGGTTGCACACTAATCATTGTTTGTTTACATTCTCTTTTGATTGTTCGTCTCAACCTCCTCTCTTCAGGTATTTCACTTTCGATTGATCATACATGCTACTTACATCTGTCAACATCAGTAGCATACACCTGTCGTGGTCATACAGAGCTGACATGGACATTATGAGTGGTTGGATAGTCAGCATGTGCAACTGATTTTGCTCAATTATCACAGGTAACTGTTCATTCAGAAACATGAGGACATGTTTCAAAATAAAGATAGATGATTGACCAAGATAACGTTGAGGAACGAAAGGTGTAAATGTAGGCAACAATTGTGTTAGATATCTGTTAATGCGGCAGTTAAGTGAGAGTGAACATGATGAGAGTCATATGGAACATTCGTATTTAATGAACGATGATCACTGTTAGTGATGTTTTTGGCGAGAATGATAATGATTGGTTGTCTGTTCAGTCAGATATGTAGATAATCTGATAGGTGTGAGATGTGTTACATATTCCACTATCTTTATTATTATTATTGATTGATTGTTCATTGTTGTTGGTTTGATTCGTGTTTCGGTGTGGAAATATATTCACGTTGTACTCAGACCAATCACATGTTGTTTATCGTCTGATTTGTGTTGAAGTCCTGTCGAATAGACATTGTGAGGGAATCTAGTGTAGATATTTTTCTATTGTAAATTAACACCCCATACGTGTAGATGAAGTAACTACGAGCGTTATAACATTGGCGACGGTGGTTAAAACGGATGTACGCCCTTATATTCAGTTAAAGTAGATTTCATAACAATAAAATGGATGATCTGATTACTTAATTGCAGTAGCGAAATTCTTTTATGAAAATATTGGTCGAAAATTTGTCAGTATCCCCAAAAACTAATGTATCCAATTCCACTGACTCCGGATTCTATTGCGAATTCAAAAAATGAATTTAGATCTGATCCAGAATGTGGAATTACATTTTAGGAATGGTTTAAGCGCCATGAAGATTTGTTTATTAATGATTGTAAAAAGTGAGACGAAGGTTCAAAATTTAGATAATTATTACGGAATCTCGGAGTGTCTGAACTTGAAAAGTTCTGTATTTTTATCTTCGGAAAGTAGCCGACCGACATAACCTTCTGAGAAGTTTCAATGGTTAAGATCATGAGTCAGTTGAAGCTAGACCACCATGGAAATTACTACAATCTCCACAAAACCCCTTCTGAGAAATAGTAGAGTGCCTGACACTTATATTTAGTGAACGATCATCGATTATTCACACTAGATATCAGTGTCTCCAGCTTGCAAAACAACCACAGGACGATTATGTGACTTATGCAAGCATCGTGAACCGGGAATGTGAGTGGTCCGGTTTACAGGAAATGTCCTTAGATCAGTTTAAATGCCTTAATTTTGTCTGTGGGTTACAGTCTGCGGTAAACGCAGATATCAGAACACGGATTCTAGCAAGGATCAAACAAGATCCTAACATCAGTCTGCAATCAGTATCTGAAGAATGTCAAAGAATGGTTAATTTGAAGCACGACACAAATCTAGTAAAAAGGAACAGTGAACTTGTGGAAGTTAATGTTTTGTGGAAATCTTATAACGGAAATAAGGATCCGTACTCCCAAGGAGTCCGAAATCAAACGTTTTCCCAAAACGTCTTGTTGGCGATGCAGTAAGCGTCATTCTGGTAATTTTTGCCATTTTTAACAAAAGTTTGTTTTTAATGTGGTAAATATGGTCATGCTGAAGTATGTTGTAAAAGTAGGCCAAAGATTGCCAAACGTCAGCAAAAGTTCCGTCAAGGAAATAACACGCAGACGTCGCAAGAGATAACACATAACTCCAATGTTGTTCTGACCACAAAAAGTGTTCAATTCTCGTCTAAAATGAAGTACGTAACTAGCTTCTTAAATGGTAAACCTGTTAGGCCGCAAATTGATATGTGGTCTGGCATAACATTAATTTCTAGAGAGACTTGGATAAAACTTGGTCGACCTCATTATCAACCTACATATTATAATGCCACAAGTGCGACAGGAACTAATATTACTCTTCTTGGAGAAGTGCAGCTAACTCTCACATCGGGTGACAAGACTATGACCGGAAAATTTTATGTATCTGGATACTGTAATAACAACTTATTAGGTATTGATTGGATAGAAAAATTTGGTTTGTGGGATCTACCGTTGAATACACTGAAAGTAGAATCCCAGCCGTGGCTAGGAATGAAAAAGCCTTGAGTCCGAAAGCACATCGATTATGCTGGACCAATAAACGGACATCATATTTTGGTGTTCGTAGATTCATATTTTAAATGACTCGAAATCTATGTCGTACGAAGACCGTCTACATTCGAATCACTTTTATATCTCAGACAACTATTTGCTAGGTTTCGGATACCTAACGTTTTGGTTTGAGATAACGGAACGCAGTTCATGTCGACGAGTTTGCAGAGTTCTGTAGAAGAATGGAATCGAACACATTAGAACTCCACTGTATCACCCTCAGTCGAATGTGGGCAAACAGAGAAATGTGTTGATGTTCTTAAGCGAGCTCTTATAAATATGGGAGGAGAAGATAATTTAGAAGAGGCTCTGCAGAAGTTTCTAATTTGTTTGACTCACCAATTAGAACATTTCTTGATGTCTTCATCTCCAAAGATAGAATGAGTGGACTACAAAAACATAAGAACGGGAATTCTCCGAAGATTCGAGTATTCAAAACGGGTGACTCAGTCTATTCACGTGATTTCCGGCCTGACAAGCAAAAATGGAGATTTTGCGTGTGTAAATACAAGACGTGGGACGGTATTGTATGAAGTGATTGTCGAAAATACACTAATTACCAGACACACCAATCGACTGAGAGACAGAATAAATGTTTATGAGTCATGTAAACACAAAGCTTCATCAATGGAAGTATTATGTGATACGTTTAATATGTCACCACCACCACCACTACCTTCACATTTTGGAATGAGAAAAAATGAGTTGAAATCAGAAGCTAGCCGAAGATCATCAAAAGACCGCAAGCAAACGAGATTTTTTCAAATAGACCGAAAGGTTAAGTCATACGATCAAACTTTGCGAGGGAGGTGATGTGTGAGCGGGAATGAGAATGATTGTTTGTCTGCTTAATCAGATATATAGATAGTCTGACAGGTATCAGATGAATTACATATTTCCCTATCCACAATCGTTGTTGACAGCAAACTCTGAAATTAATCTCATCATGTGATACCTTCTAAACTAAACTGTAATACTTGGTCTTTTGTTATCAATATGCAGACTATCCTAGACACTATGAATTGAACGTTGATTTGGAAACTATTGGAAGCAATGAATCTATGTGAAATATGTATGATTCTTTTGGAAATTGACGAATTAGATTTAGTCGATCTCTTTCTCTCTCTCTCTCTCTCTTTCTCTCTACGTAATTTCACGCTCATTTATTTTATTAGAAACGAATTAGTGAAGTAATTTAGATAATTAACATACATTGTCCGGATAACATCAACAGCACCATTCTGTGGGAGAGGACAAACCACTTTTTATCTGAATGGGAAATGAGGAAAAGTCGTTGAAAGTGGATAAAACACACATTGAGTAAATCCCCAAATCGCATCACAAGACAAGCTCTAACTCGAAATTCTGAAGGGAAGTGGAAAAGTGGAAGCCCGAAGAACACATTACGTCGGGAATTGGAAGCAGATGTGAAAAGGATGAATAATAACTGGAAAAAATTGGAAAGGATTGCTCAGGACACGGTTTGATCGGCAGTGCAAATGGGAGACCTATGCCCTTCCACGAGGGGTAACAGGCTTACGTATGAAAGTAAGTAAGTTCTATGGTTAAATGATAGGTTCATTTTAATCAGTTTTCAGTCGAAATTTGTTCACCAAACTACTATCCTTAGTACTGAAGACTGAAGGACAGGGTTGTATGTGGAGTGCGATTGAGCGTCCGATGCTCCTTCATGAGAGGAAACAGGCTTAAGTAATTAAGTAAGTTCTATGGTTAAATGATAGGTAATTTTTATTCAGTTTTCAGTCGAAATATCTTTTTCAAGATAAAACTAAAATGATATTCTTCACACCGTCTAAGCTTGTTAAACGAATATCTCAACCTACAGAGTCCAGATGACTGAAGTGTTTAAGAGTTTATACTGGTTAACGCAAAGCAGACGGTTGACAAACCTTCACTCAAATAATTCGAAATGAAACAAAACATTTGTTTTATTGTTCCATATTTGATAAGTGAATTTATGTTTAAATGCACACAACTCAAGTGACTTTCACAATGTAAATACCTTGAATATTAGAGATGAAAAACCATCAACTGTGAACAATGATTTCATACACGTTGAACAAATGGAACATTGTCTGAACTCAGTGGGTACATGGACAAAACGTAATTTGACAATGTATTTACATTAACAAATAAAATCTGTGTTGTCTAAGCTATATAGTATCAACATTGTATATTCCATCGTAGTGTGGTTTTCACATATTCAACTATGGTCAACAGATATTGCAATGAAATGTCACAAATAGAATTTCAAAGAAAATTACACTGATCGTTTTACTTCTTAAGCTCAATCAATCCACGATGCTCTCCAGTTTGTGGTCAATCCATAACTTTCTAACATAAAATCACACTGGACATCTCAATAACCACAACTAGATCGATTCATCATTCCTATCACACTTTCACCTTAAAAACACTCTGAAGAGATGACAACCATCTATCCTGAAATGTAATCAATTAGATTAATAATCTACTTTCGATCAAGTAACTTGTATTCGTTGTACAAACACTTCGGATCTGATTGGCTGATATTCTCTAGTTGAATATATCCTATCGATTGCGTTGAAGAGACGAAACGTTGTTCCCCTCTTTTGTTTCTACATACCCCTCACACTCCAGTAACAATTTGATTTCAACAAAGTAAATATGAAACAAATTCATTATTCAATTGATAAGAATGGTGTATAATGGTGTACAAATAAGTAAGATCAAATGACAATAGAATGAGTAGTGAATAAATAATGATTCGGTTGATTGATTGACATTAGGTTCAATGGAATATCTTCTTTACATTTGATCTCAATTAGACGATTATGCAGATAGAAAATTTTCACTTTCAAATTTACGTATTCTAATAATTGACAAGATCAAGTAGACAGCTTGAATAATCCCGAATGTGAAACACAGATACATGATTATATTTAGATAAGTTTGTGTATATTCAATTATCGCTGATACACATCCCTATGAAATGATGAGAGAGAGTGAGTAAAGAATCACAATGAAATGTATATCATTGAATCAATGTAAATGGATAATTGAAATGTGAAGCGTAGTGAAAGTGATTAGACTGTGATGTTGTTGTGAATGAAAATAAGACTGAGTTAAATGTAGAACTGTGTTGTGACAGACAACAATGTGTTGTTGCTGTGTCGTTAGAGCAGTTCAGTGAGTTTGAGTTGATTGTTTTGATTTTACCACTAGTCACTCACTAGTATGATTGAGTTATAGTGTGCTTCGAAATAGTGTTCTGATGATAGGTACATAAGTGTCATTAATGACAACAACTTCAATGGATTGAATGTCAACTAATCTTCAAATACGAAAATCATCAGGTAGTCTAGATTTATCTCATATCCATATTATTCATTCACATAATTGGCCAGATTTAAGGTGGAGTACATTATTAGGAAATTGTAATATGTGAATGAAGAATTGTTGTTTGTCATATAAAATCAAATCGTAAATATTTATCCTGGCTAATAAGAAGTTGTTGATGTGAATCTGTTTATAACCAAAATTTTACATGGGAGAAGGAAAATATGAGTAGATTAGCCTTTGTAGAAGTTCTGTTTACAAGGAGGAAAGACGGGTCGCTAATAAAAACATAAATAGGAAATTTACATGGACGGGTCAATACACAAACTTTCTTAGTTTTGTTCCTCTACAATACAAAAGGAACCTTATTAAGACACTGCATCATAGAATCAAGACTATATGCTCTGCGGATACGATTGAAGATGAAACAAAGACGTTGTACATAACCCTGAAGGAAAATAGATATCCCGAGAAATTTATAAGTAAAAACATCGCCAATAAAAGACAGCATAGAGAATACCCAACTGTAAATAAAAAGCCTCTGTATATACGTTTGCCATTCAGAGGCGATGCACCGAGTGAAATGCTAAGGCTTAAGTTAAACGAATCGATTCAAAAGACTTTTAATTCAGGTAAACTATAACTAATGTTCTCCAAACGACCATTAATCACTTTGAGGTTGAAAGATAAATTGCCTAGACTAGCCACCTCCTTCTGCATTTATTAATTCAACTGCTCCTGTGGAGCAAGTTATATTGGCAGATGTTCCAGGAATTTGTACATTCGGGCTCGTGAACACCTCTTCGTGTGCGAATCCTACAGACAGCTGAAGCAATTGCTATTCGGATATAAAAGCCAGAGCTTTGCACCCAAAAGAAATGTATGTTCAGCCACTCCCTTTAGCCTGGCCAATTTGGGGCCAACTAGTTAATAGCCAATCTGGAGAGACTATAATTTATAGACGACCTTGAATGACCTTGAGAAATATTAGCCAATCAGAAAACAGATGGTGTAGTGTAAAAATAAATTATACAAAACCAGAGAATCAAAGTGGATACACTTATTAGTGGTTCAAAAACTTGCCAAGGTTAGAAAGAGGTTCAGAGATTCTAAAATCGTAATGCATATAGTAGAAGAAATCATCCATGCGGTTACAGAATAGTCGGCCGCTGGAGCCATGATAAGGTCTCAAAAACTTTCACTCTCGACTATATAGCTTCAATATTGTTTTTGTGCACACCGGTTGTTGAGTACATGAAATGCCACTTGTGGATAACGACACGATACCCATAACTACCAACTCAATTATCATGTTTTGTACTAAATTCCCTGTGAACCGATCGAAGTTTATCATTAAGCACTGAAGTTGGCGTGGTGAACTTGAAATCTCTCGAACGCTTCTGATTGGCTCGTCCATAAAATAGAGTCTCGCCCATTATTATTATTATCAACACACTTGATAACCTTTTTGAGGAATTTATTCAGTATCTACCCCCATCTGCTAAATCTGACCGAATTCATATTATTCTACATAGTACGTAATTTCTGATTTTTATTCCATTATTTTCCCTCTCACCCCATGTTGACCATATTTATTCTGATCATTAATTATTTCAATAGTTAAAATCATGAGTCAATTCAAGCTAGGACACAATGAAAAACCTGGAAGCACTGGACGGCCGTTTCGTACTAGTATGGGACTCCTCGTCAGTGCGCATCCACGATCCCACCATGTGAGATTCGAACCCAGGACCTATTAGTCTCGCAAGAGAGCGCTTAACCATTAGACCACAGATCTGCCTGGCATCCAACGGTGTTGAAGTCAAACTTCAACCAGTTCACTATTGAAATTACTAAAATCTCCTCAGAAGCCCTTCTGACATTATTTATTTCACAATTTCATTTCACTTATAAACTGATTCAAGTTAACAACTTCATATAAGTCAGCCTCAACATTAACGATTTTGTATGACAAACATCAATTCTTAATAAACATATTACAATATCCAAATGATGAAGTTAAATGATTAAAAATTTGCAAAATATTGACTTACTCTGGGAAATTCGAGTTTACCGTACGTACATGAATCAGGTGTTTTTATTATTCTCTCAATAATTGGATAGTCTTTGTATGATTTCGCTCCACAGCAGAAAAACTATAGACAAGAAGTCATCAGAATTTTTGATATGATTATAAATTACACTCATTTGTAAATGATCAAACTCTATTTGATAGTCAATTCGTTTGGCATATTGTTTAACAGCGGAACTTAGCAAGCTATCAGCTGACAAAAAGAACTGTAAATATATGAAGATCATTGTATCACGATACATTAGGTTCAAATAATATCAAACAAACCCTGTCCTCTGTTAAAGCTACTTTAAATGCCATTCCGATCCACATACAAGTCACGACAAGCAGAACGAAAATATTCTAAAAGGCGGTATAAGTGAAATACACTTGTTCATATTGCATGAATCACTTACCAAATAAACGATTACTTTCCGTTTGTTTAAGTAACCGTAAATTCCAAAAAACGATCCCAATACACTAAGACCTCCTGAGATACTTACAGCCAGGAAGATCGCAGGTTTCGTACACTGTAAAATAGTACTGAATTGACTTAAAATGATTTGTGGATGAATTCCGAGTCCTAACAGAACAATACCGAACACCTAGATTGTTTAAGTAAGATCAAATGAACCATATGAGGAGAACACATGTAATGATACTTACTACAAAACTACAATTGCACAAGATAAATATTTTCGTCCAAGATTCACTTGACAATAACATTTCAATATTGTTCACTGAGATGATGATGATGCTGATGATGATGATGATGATATTTTGTATGATGTATGTAGTACTGGTAATAAATGTGAGTCAATTGTATGTTTCTTTCACTTTCAGTCTGAATTGTCACCAAATATCAAGTCAAATGATAAAATTAAGTAGGATTCGTCTGAATTAATTTATTAATTGTACTGTGTATTTCTAATAGGAATTCATGCACAAACAAAGTTAACTTACTTAATTCTAATGCACTAATTAATCACATCAACATCAACATCATCATCCTCACTATGGTTCAGTATCATTTTATTATTATTATTATTATTATTATCAAATTCAAAGGTATACAACTTGCTATTCTAAGTAGTTAAAATTGTATGTGTGTGTATGTATGTTTCTGCATGTCTTAATGGTAGTTGTGATATAGTGAACAAGGATATTACAGAACATGCTTTCAAAATATTTGATAACCATTAGGTATATAGTACATTTGCAATGTGTCAATTCATTTTCTCAAACTTGACTGCACCTTCTGCAAACGTCAATCAATGATCTCGGAATTCATTGTTCTTTTGGTTGCACACTAATCATTGTTTGTTTACATTCTCTTTTGATTGTTCGTCTCAACCTCCTCTTTACAGGTATTCCACTTTCGATTGATCATACATGCTACTTACATCTGTCAACATCAGTAGCATACACCTGTCGTGGTCATACAGAGCTGACATGGACATTATGAGTGGTTGGATAGTCAGCATGTGCAACTGATTTTGCTCAATTATCACAGGTAACTGTTCATTCAGAAACATGAGGACATGTTTCAAAATAAAGATAGATGATTGACCAAGATAACGTTGAGGAACGAAAGGTGTAAATGTAGGCAACAATTGTGTTAGATATCTGTTAATGCGGCAGTTAAGTGAGAGTGAACATGATGAGAGTCATGTGGAACATGCGTATTTAATGAGCGATGATCAATGTCATTTCGAAAAGCTTAGAATTCAGATTCAATATCGACTTAATCCGCATTTTATAGTCAATAATCATGATTTTAGAGATTAAATGAAATTATCAATTATGTGAATAATGCTATAAACATACACAGTAATATTTGCTGTAACCATGTCTACAACCCCCTCAAATAGTTATGTAAGCTAATTAAAGTTTTATTATTAATCCAAATAACGTAAATACCGTCGTTATTGCATGAACACCGTGTATGAAGGAATAGCTATGGAAGAAACTCACGAGTAATCCTTTCAAGAATCTATGGAAGACAAGTCGTAAGAAATGCTGAACATGTTATGATCGATGAAATTTAAAGGTGATGAAAATGAAGTAATATTGAGTGTTAAATGTTTGATCGGATTCAAAAACAGCATCACTGACAGTTTACTTAGGGAAGTATGAACCGTCCTTTGAAGCATATATCATGGAAAAGTGGTTGATCGAAGAGAAAATTTTAGGTGATTTCATTCTCAATGTTTGTAGATGATTTTATTAGATTCCTGTCTGATATCTCGAATAATGATATGACTGAAGCTATAGAGAGACGCATTAAAGTGTTTTAAAGTTCTTCATAAGAGGAAATGAACTGACAATCAAGCATATGATGAATCGAGATCTCGAGGGTCCAGATTAACTTATTTAAATGGACTACCAAAACTACTCAAACCTGAGTCCTCTGTCTGGACCTATCCTATCTACGATTAATTCGCCCTCTTTCAAACTCATAAGGTGTTCAGTGGATCAATTAGGACCTCTTCGGATGAAATTATCTGTTCATAGTTAGAAAGACTTTCCAGTTTACTCAGATGCTAGAGATATTTAACAACTTAGATTGTCTCGTGGTGTCATTTGATATATCATCACTATTTACAGAAATCACTTAAAAGAAACAATACAAATTGTCATTTTAGTAAAAGGATGAGAATAAAAATATAACTTTAAGGATTAAGGTTAAGCCACTGGGAGAGACGGCTTTGGAAGATCAGAAGGTACAGCGATTATAGAGAGAGAGAGAGAGAGTGAGACTGTATAGATAATTTTGGCTTGTCGAAGTCAGATCTGAAAGTTTCAGTGATTTGACGAAAAGGAAATTTTGATGAGTCTGGCAAAGTTTTACTAACTTTGGGGGGGATTTCAGACATAAATATTCATAAAGTCGTCCATTATTAAGTTACAAATTGGCCCTTTTGTTTTCACAACCATATAGATTATTGGCTATAATGATCTTGAACTAAAATTATGTGAAGCATCCTATGTAAGCAGTTCCACAAAAACAATTGACCAAAATGAAGTGGTCATTTAAGAGGGAATATCATTTATATTATTAATAACCATAGTCTAAGTAAAGAATAGTAACGTGAAAGCTGTTGAAAAGGAAAATGAAAACTGACGTTTTAGAAAGGACTTTCATTCACACTTATGTATCTTCAGTTGCACTATTTCTAAAGCTAATGTCTATATTGTTAGGCGCCGATAATCATAATAAATGGTAACTTTCGGATCCAATTATGAACCATTACTAAACGTATATTTTTATCGTATAATTGTTAAATAACTAAACTATCCATATTCATATTCTTCTTATTATAAACTTTATTTTGACCTATGAACCATTATTGTGCGTTTTACCATTCGTGAATTATGCCCTATCTATTAGTCACTGTCTCCCATGTTCACAGACACATTTGGCCAAATTTTGTACAAACGTTATTTTCTCTTTTGTGGCAGGTTGTGATCTGTTTGATTGATATATAAACCCCGTATGTCTGAAATAAATGATTCATATTGCAGAGGATGAGATTGGCGTTCCAGACTTAACAGACTGGGCTAGGCGGAAAGCGGGACTAATCAGGACTCTAGGCTGCTCGTACGTATTTACGCGTCATTGATTCGATCGATGATTCCCTGCTCTCTAATCGGCGGTCACAAGTTATAACACATGTAAATTAGATTAATTATCACATAGGCTACTGATTCGTTGAATGGATTTTTATTCCCTTATCTAGTAATCGTGTTGGATAGTCATTTTCTATGCACATGTTCCGTATGTCAGGTAATTATATTTCGCTAGAACTGGAAATACAGATGTTTATCATCAGTAGTATTGATAACTTCGTTCAAAATTACAATTATGGGTACCGTAATGAGCATCCAGCATACTTCATTTCTAGCAATTCGTAAAGGACAATCTAACCATATCATCCACCGTTCGTTCTCATAAATATTTCTTATTATCTTTGCACTGTATAGTATGTCATGTGCATGAATCTAAAAGAGTTTACATATCATCGCTGTGAAGAGTAGACAAAAATGAAAATATCCCAAACAATGTGGTGTTCTCGTGTGTGGCTTATACTACTACGGTTCAGTATTTCTGAAGATCTTTACACAAAATCTTCAGTTACATTGTCAAAATCAATCCATAATAAGGAAATGATATTCCAATCAAGCAGTCTGTAATGAGATAAAATGTGATTTATTATCGTATATACATTCAGTCGTTGATTACATAGATCTCTGAAACTTTATTCAACCGACAATCAGATTGAATTTACACAAAGTTCAGTTTGATTTAGACTAATGGATCAATGCTAACTAGCATGAAGCTCATGAGTATGTGTAAACAATTAGGTGAAGAAGAACTGTCAAGTTAAATAACCCTGGAGAAATAACGATGTCAATGTTGGACTTGATAGTCTCAACTAAATTGAGCATGTACTAGAGAGTTAATAATCATGAATATATTTTTTGTGATATGCCCATGAGTAGAAAATTGTGTTTCCGATGTTACGTGACTTAATATAATCCACTCCTTCAGAGTGAATATATCACCGATTATTTGCTTACTCTGAAGAAATGACCTATAATAAGTCACGAAACGTCAGGAATACAACTTTTCACTCATGAATATATCACATAGTGTGAAATAATTCACTTATTTTCTGATTATTTTCCCTAGTAAAATACACTTGATCATCGTCAAGCGTTACTTATGCTTCACCATGGAGATTACAATATTCTATACTATTGTTCTATAACAAATTAAATCAAATGATTCATTTCATATAAACACTCGTATACATGAGAATACTCAAGTGAAATATAAAAATAGAAACAACTTCCTTAGTTAGTAGTATATATATATATACATGCATAAAAGTAAACGCAAATACATGCATCACACAACAACAGTAAATGTTCCACCATCATTTTAATTGACAACATGGAAAACAAAAAGATAAAAATAGCTGTGATGTGCATGACTCCAGTTATAGATAAAACAAACATTCCACACACTACAACTATTTACTACATTGACGTATCTCAGTTGGAATGAAGAGAATTAGTCGCATATTTTGTGACAAATCAGACATCATCTATCATAACATTTCAGTAGTAAAATCGAACATCTGTCAATATTCTCTTATAGTCGATCCATTATCATTAAAACTAATAGATATGAACTTAACATTGTCACAAAACACTTGGAGACACATACAATTGTTTGCTTGTAGTAAGTGACGTTTCTGTATTCTCCTTGATCTGATCACTTTATTCTTATCTATGTTTTCAAGATATTTGATGGAGTCCAGCTTATCTATGGAATCAAACGAGAGGACGTATTAAAAGAATACCGTGAAATTTTACAAGGAGCGTTACCTTGTGATCTCTCTCATGGTTTGCATATCATCAGGTATTTCCATCTTCGCGTCATTGTTTACAATAGTTGGTCTATGAAATCATCAGAAAACCGATCAGATATCTGGTAACTAATAAATGACTTTTGAATGAATATGATGGCGCGACTAAAATGTATGGCTAAAGCGATTAGGTATAAGATAACAGGTGTCAGATTTTGGCACGAAATTCACCCATCTATTTGGTTAAATAGAGTTTTGACATTATAACTGATATCAGTTTGTGATGAAAACATGAAATCGAATTCCTGACACTTACCATCAATTGTAAATCATAATTCTAATCCCTCACACTGGTTTATAAGCGTCATTTGATTTTAGTTACTAGGTGGACATACTAAAGGTCACTTTAGCGTCGCACAAATGTCGACCATAAATTATAGTCTCATCAATATGTTTTATTTTTATTGATGTTTGTGTTTAGTATTTGGTTGTTTTGACAATCAGAACGCTTACCGATTTAGGTATATGATCACAATCTACCGTTTCAGAGGATCAAGTGGGTTTGATGATGATTGAATGGAATAGATTTTAACAAGCTACTATTTCTTGTTTGTTGTAGTTCCTTCTGAATGTTCATAATTTAATAAAGGATAACCTTAAACGGTTTATCGAATCATTTTCCAACAGTTTTTTTGTGTAATTATGTTGTTTAATTAACTTATGAACAACTTTCATCGTTCAAGTACAAAAACTGAAACTTTATTAGAGCAAGGTGATATGGCAACTAATAGCATAATCAATTAGAATGTGAATAACAAGTAACATTGATTTATTTCCCAACTGAATGTGGATCAGATTTATTTTCTAAGATATGTGATGAGTAATGGGATAAGAAGTGTACATACACCTACGCGCTCATATAAAAACAGTCAAGATATTGATAAGCGAATACTTAAAAAGGTTAGAATGTGACTCAAATAGAATGAATAGAATGGGCTGTCCGAAAGTTAGAATAATAAGGTATTTGAGCTTAACATAATGACAGACACTACAAGTAATAAAACACTCACTAATTTAAGCATAGCGATAGAATCAGCTGTGTTTAAAGATTAAGTTGGTTCAATTCAGCAAGATATTATGCAAAGGTGTAAGTTCCTGGGAATATAAAAAATAAAGTGGAATTCCGTCTTTCTATCTTTTCAGAGTACATGTTTTTTGCATGCATATATAAACGCTGATATTTGTGAATGGAGGTAAAATATGAAGGATACTTGTTACTATGCACAGTATAAGCGAAACCATTTTGCAAGGAAGATTACGTTTTTTAAATCTGCTATTCCTTCACGAGAAATATATATATTTATAGTTTGATCACCTCTGAATGACAATCGAATAAACACCTTGTTTATCTTCAGCTTTGCATGTCTCCTCTTCATTTTGGTATTTAGTATTGGTGGAGTTTTGTTCTCTGAGATGGATGGTTTAGTCATGGAGCTTTTATCGTTCTTCTGAACTATAACATCAGCATAAACCTCACTTTTACCTGATAGCTCCACGACCAAACCATCCAGCTCAGAGAAGAAAACTCCACCAAAATCATCCACCTGAGTTACAAATCTTCTCCACCATCTAGGTATTCAGTTTCATGCATCCACTTAAGTAATTCAATGTATTCATTTTTCTTGCTGACACCTAATTGTTTTCTTACATTTTTCCTCTAGGTATTTACTTACTTTTACTTACAATGGAGCATAGGCCGCCAACCAGCATTTCTTCAACCCACTCTGTCCTGGGCCTTCTTTCCTAGTTCCATCCAATTCTTGTTTATTTTTCTCATGTCTATCTCCGTTTCTCGGCGTAATGTGTTCTTTGGTCTTCCTCTTCTCATTTGACGCCGTTGGGTGCTTTCCTCAATGTGTGTTCTATCCACTTCCAGCGATTCTTCTTGATTTTGTCCTCCACTGGGATCTGGTCTGTTCTCTTCCACAGTAGGTTGTTGCTAATTGTGTCCGGCCAGCGGATCTGAAGTATTTTGCGTAGACAACTATTAATAAACACTTGTATTTTCTGGATGATGGATTTCGTAGTTCTCCATGTTTCCGCCACATGCAATAGAACTGTCTTGACATTTCTATTGAAACTGCTGACCTTAGTGTTAGCTTACATACAATTGTTTTGAGTTTCAGATGTTCTTCAGTTGTAAATATGCTGCTCTTGCTTTTCCGATCCGTGCTTTCACATCTTCATCAGATCCCCCGTGTTCATCAATGATTTTAGGTATTTAGGGGAATATAATTTTTTGATCCTTTGACTAAACATAGTCTATAAATATTTTCATTCTTGCTTTGTTTTAATTTGTGATGTGAACCAAGTGTATGAAAATATTGTTTTAATTATTCTTTTATCTACGTTCGTTTTAATAATGCATACCACGTCAATTTACACATTGCATAATCTTAGAACACATATTTCATGGGATATGCAATTATATTACTATTTCTCTCACTCCATGTTATCCACATTTTATTCCGATTGTCAATCTAAGGATTTCAATTGATGTAGCATTACTCATCAGTCATGTCAGCATGTTATTCAACACAAGAATAATCAATAAAATCATACTTGATGAAGAAACTCTGGAAGATGTGGAATGATTCACCCACCTGGTCAGCATCGTCGATGAACAAAGACGATAAGATGCGGACGTAAAGGTGAAGGTTGACAAAGTAAGTGCAGCATATGGAACGCTAAACAACTGTATGCTAGCCAACATCAAACTCAGAATATTCAATGCAAATATTGGTTGGAGAATCTTGATGGATGACCTATGTTACTTCATGAGGGGTAACAGGAGTAAGTAAGTAAGTACATAAGAGAATGAATTGGATAGTTCTGGATATTACAAGTTAGTACATTACATTCAATATCTAGATGGCAGGAACAGATAGTTCAGATACTCAAACAGGCCGCACATGTTATGGTATTTACTATCACAATTATTGATTAGTTTCAATGAATCCATCCTATCAATGTATTTATATCATTACTATAAAATATATTTCAGTCTTTGCATATGTAAAGCTACTACAAATTATACGAGTTCTGTTGTATGTGTGCTACTTATATCAACATAAGTAGTAGATAACGCGAGTCAGAAATAGAATGTCTGGCAACAGAAGGCAAGAACGGCAATAGAAATGACTTGCTTGATACAAAAAAAGATCATCATCATCATCAGATTGTTCATCAAATATTATTACATGCTCTGAACAGTTTTGATTGACAATGAAAGCAAGGTGGTAGAGAAAATGTTTAATTTACAAATTGATGAAACAATCAGAAATGTTACGTAATAGTTCAATAGCATTTTATCAGCAATAATTGAGTGTTATTCATGTGAAATTTCGGCCGAGATTCAATCCTCATCAGTAGTCTTCGACTTGTTTCAACAAGAGGTCTGCGTCGATCGAATCTTTCCATATTTAGATTTACAAATCATCACAAATGACAGAATCAAGTAGATACCATGAATTATTCCAAGACTGAAGCATAAATAGATCAGAATGTGTCTATAATATTGTACAAATTCATTCAATGCATCAATGCATCCCTATATATGTTAAAATAAATAAACTACACAGTGTTAGTGAATTATGTAAAGTTGGGAAGATACAAATGCTTAATGTTATGTAATATTCAAAACAAGTGAATGAATCATCTATCTGACCATAGAGAACGATGTTTGATTGATTCATTGATTTCCACATTGGTTTATGAGTCATGAGATGGATGAGTCATTGAATGATGACTAACTGGTAAGCTTGAGATGGAAATGTTGAAAGTGATTTGTGGAATTTAGTTTGCATGAAATGATTCATTGAAAGGTATCTATACAACAAGTTAATCTTCTTCCTTATGAAAGTCTGTTGAGTAAGATATGAGCACTGCATTCAAAAACCAAGTAATGTTCATTCTATAAATCAACCAAAAACTGTGTTTCCTTTGAAACGTCTATTGATGTGTTCACATAACTGATCCATTTGTATCGGTGGAGGTTATTCAATGACCAGATTGTTAAATGTGGTCCTTGTTTATAAAGCAGACATTAAGATATAAAATGGCATAAGCCTAAAATAGGTCAGCAAATGGGATCGCTGTGGATGTATGTAGCTTCTCACTTAGGACAGTGGCTACTTCCACAACACTAAGCCAACAGTAAACTGATAAGTAAGTTATAAAATCTAGTGTTGTTGAAGGAGATCTACGGAAAATATTGAGACAGTATCTATTTTGTAGTTTACATGATGAACTGACTTTAATTAAACAACTAATGAAAATAAGACAACCATCACTTATTTGTTTCGTACTGAAATGAATCACTTTAACTGTCCACATACACTTTCCCATTTAGAAACCAGGGCACAATGGATGAATTTCTTGGTGAACATCATCTAGTAGCGCAAATATGTGTAGTTAAACTATTTGTTCATTTGTAATGACTGAAATCTCGCTTGGGTTTATTCTCAGTCTTCCAGAATTTCATTCCGAAAATATAAAATTTTCAACTAGATGACGTTTTTCTGTTGTTTCGATTCTCAACATGTGAACTCAATGAAACTTATGAGTTGCTATGAGATCTCTCACCACATCGCTCTTAAATGTGTTTTTCCATTAGCTTCTATCCAATCAATGAATCTTGTTCTTCACTCTTCATTCTGTATCCTCCTTTATAAATTCACTTATATTTATTTTCAGTTTAGAGTTGTGCAGACTGTTGAGTTCTGATTGAAATCATGAATCGATTGATGTTAGACCACCATCAGAATATACATAAAATCCAGTTATGGTGAATAGAACAACATTGACATGACAAGTATATATAACAAGGAATTGAGGATATCAGGATGTAAATTTCCAACATCTGTAAACTTGGGACTGAGAGTTACAAATCTACATTGGTAATGTGGTTCAGGTCAAATATGAGAAGATTTGTTGTAAACAGAATGTGTTAGGAATATTTAGGAAGCATGTTAAACCATAGTGTAGAATGTATATTTTTCAATGAATTAACTGGATAGTTCGAGCATTGGACATATCATGGTTATTGTAGCACGGATATCGCTTTATATTTCTTAACAATAACGTGCAGAGATGTTTCGTCAAACATTTCCTCACACATTTACCTATTTGATGTTGAAAGTCCCTTCAGAATTGGAAGCTTTCAATAGGTTCATATACAATTAGAGTGTTTTACAACAATCAAATATTTACTTACCAGTGAATATGGTTTTATTCCAGACAAACAGGAAATCGGTATAAGTTGTTTAACATGTGGATAATCGTTGGATGAATCAGCCCCACAACAACGAAACTGTATTTACAGAGTTAACACATTTACCGATATTTCATTAGCTTACTGTTGTTTGTAAATTATCAAATTCTATTCGATAACGAAGATTTGTCCAATATTGTTTAACATTCGTATTTAACGAACTATGAGCTTCAGTGAAGAACTGTTTACATGCAAGTGATTAGATGTCATCAAACAATATCAGACATAAACTAACTTGATCTTTCATTAAAGAGGATGTCAATGCTATGCCTATTTCCATAAGTATTACAATGGTCAAAGTACATAGATGCTAAACATAAAGGTTGAATAAATATGCATCTTATGCATTAATATTTCAATGGTTACCAGATACATGATGATGTTTCTTTTATTTAATATTGCTAATATTCCAATACATGCAGCTAATATACCGAGACTTCCTGAGAAAGTAGCAGTTATGAAGATGGGTGGTATAGTTGCTTGCAAAATCCTCTTATATCCAAATAGTTTGGTTGGTACTTTCATGCCATATACAACCACTATACTGCCAATTGTCTATATTGCATCATAAAGAATGAAGTGAATATAACAATAGAGAAACAAATCAATAGAAATTCGACTTACAATAAAAAGGCAGTTGAAGAAAACGAACAGTTTTATTGAATATCGTTCAACTATTGACCAATACATGATATTGAATTCGATGGGAATTGGCACTCACACACACACTCTGAATCCCCTTTCTATTTTATTATCCATTTGCAAATTGCAAATTTTTAATGCAATTTCATCCATGCTGTGATCATGTCATTTTTGTTGATTTCCAATGAGCCTATATTTTGAGTGAAAGTAATAATGAATGAATTTAGCCTACGTATAACCAATGTGAATCAGCTTTTGATAGATTGATATGTATGTATGTATGTATGTATGTTATGTGTGATGTAGATAGTCATTTATGTAATTCACTATGTAAAATATTTGTGTATCTTTAGTTTTCACTAATTCTACTTGCTGTAATACATGTGACTCGTTAAAGGAATCTAATTGTTTGATTATGTAGTTTTGTAGTTTTGAATGATAACAATCCACATCGATTCAATACTACTTAATGAGTGATGAAATTGATGAAATAGAAACATGTTGCATAGGCTAATGAAGATTGATTGCCATGTGGTTGATTGATCTGTTTTGTATTCATTTAATTCTAGGTAGATCAATCTGTTCAATAGATAACGGCCTCACCTGGAATCCTGAAGGTCAAAGGAGAAGAGGAAGATCATAGAACATATTACATCAAGATATGGAGACAGTCATGAGAAGAATGAATAACAATTGGATAGTACTAAAAAGGAAGGCTCAGGACAGTGTGGGTTGAAGAATACTAGTTGGTGGCCTATGCTCCACTGGGAGTAACAAGCGTAAAGTATCTAAGTAAACTAGTTATTTAATAGATAATTCTTCATTTTATAGTGCACAACAGTTGAGTTTGAAACAAAGCCACTTATTTTTTGATACTCACTGATATTATAATGATCTGACCTCGAAATTGATTGGATACGAATGATTGAGTTGACGTTTTGTGGAAATTCGATTGATTTGCACGTTGTATTCATCATAGATTAATAAATGAAGCCAATGTTATTACATTTTGTATGTTGGTTTATTCAGACAGTTAACTTTTCTCATTGTTAAGATTGAGTCGTATGATATACTAGATGTCAGTGACTCACAGTAGTGATATTCCACAACACAGAAATAAGTATGAATGAACCGACGGCAATGATTTCATCTTCACAAAACCTATTCATTATTGATACGTTAATCATATTTCATGTATCGACTGAAATCATATTCTTAGTAAAATGGTTTCAGTTAATATCAATGATTGATAAATGACCATCAATAAGAGCTTAATGCTTATGATCTCAACAGCGATACTGTATTTTCTATTTGAACTCAATAATGGAATATTGGGGAAAGTCAACAAAATCATGAATTGTTCACTACTGACTGGATTCAAGAGGAAATTTCCGGAATTCTTATGAGAATGTCTGACTCTTAGAGATCAACCGTTTTTTGTTTCTTTCAAGAACATATCCTTCAAAAACACTGGAACATGGTCTTCATACGTTTAAATGAAATTGTGAAATTACAATCAAAATGTAAAAGGATATCATATGGTGCAAGAAGTGCAACTAATGTGACTATACGTCATATAAAATATTTAGTCAAACATTATATACTGTAGAAAGTGATATGAATTTCAGTTAACATTACATACTTATCACTTCAGCACTAACAATTTCATTTCACAAATCATTTCATGTTCACATACAGCAATTTAAGAATTATTTACTATATAGTTGGCTATCCATTTGAAACATTGATTTAGATCTAAATTTGAAGAATCTAATGGGAAGTTATTGATTATGTAATGTAATAACTAATCTGATCAAATTCATAAGAGTATAGATAACAATTGAAACACAAGGGTATATAACTGACAACAACAGTAACAATAAGAATTAGACAATATAAATTTAATGTAATTAGATACCTTAATAAATTATCATAGAAGAATTATGGCAAGGTTTTTGTAGGGTTTAAATTGTTTCGTTTCACTTCACAGAATTTCATCAGCAGAAACTTTATCAAGTGGCAAACAATCAATATAATTATAAAATAAAGGTTCGTATAATAAGTAAAGATGGTTAATGGTTAGCAGTGCAATCCAGGATGCGCATTTTGTCCTGTCTGGGACTCGTCAGCCGCATGTACCTGCATTTCATAGTTGATGTTCACTCGGGGACTCGAACCCAGTATCGATCGCTTCAAATGCCGTCAAGTTATCCACTTAGCTATTGAGTCCTGATAGACAATTTCGATGCAATATGCGCAGGATCCACATATACCAATAAGAAACTGATCCATTTCAGTTCTTAACATCAATGGGAAGATTCAAGTAAAACAATACCAAGTGAATCAAGGTTTAGCATACTTTATTTAGTGATGTTGAGATGAATATTTGAAATACGATGACAAATCATAAGAAGAACACAGTGCGAAATATGTGATTCAACATAGTTAAAATGTTTTTGATTGAGATCATGAATCGATTGCTGCTAGACTGCTATTAAAAACCACCGAGCACTGGACGGCCATTTCGTCTTATTTTGGGACTCCTTAGTAGTGAACATCCACGACCCCACTAGCGGGATTCGAACATCATGATGATGATCAAGAATGATGCCTATTTAAATTTCGAAAGATAAAACAATAAATAATAGATGGATGATCCTAAAGTTGTTAATAATCAAACAAAACCCACAGTGTATCAGATCCACACCAAAAAAAACAAACAATATAATGTAATACAGTAGAAAAGTACCTTTGCTTTAGTATCGATATACGAATTCCGTGTGATTCCAAAAACGTCAGTTATCAATAATAAAGTTAATTAAACAACAGAATATCTTAACTTTATACAGTTTGTCATTAATCTAACATGTGTAACATCTCATTGTGTTCGTCTATCTTTGATACGTTTATTATCGTAAGTTAACTAACACGTTTCCTTGTGAAATTTATGATAAAATAATGATACTACTTATTAGTAAACAACATTGTTCTGATAAGTTTTTTCTTCAATAATTTAATGTTAGCTATCATCTAGTTTGGTTAGAATGATTGTGTTATTACTTCTGTATACCAGAGCTTTATGTTAACTGTTTTGTTATTGTCATCCATCATAACAAACTAAATTACCCCTTTTATAGTCAATAAGCTATGAATTCTCAATTTCATTCGGATTTACATCTGCTATATATTTGGTCAACATTCACCAGTTAGGCTAATATACACTCTGCAACTAAGTTAATATAATTTAATGAATACTGTACGACTAAACAAACATAAAATTGGTTATTACTTCTTAATGAGTCAACTTTAGATGGAAAGTCATTTGTTTATCATGCAATTTAGTATCGATATCAATAAGAGGGTATTCAAGCAGTTTTCTTTAACGAAACGTATGTCAGATTAAACTGTTGATTTTCGTAACATGAGAGGACATCTAAAAGTAGTTAGCAGACTTCACTGATAAAATATTGTAATACTTGATACATGTTGTTTTGACTTCTGTTTACTGGTATTTTTGTACCTAATTAATAGTAAGAAATAAATTATAATAGTTTAGATGTACAAACGATTGATTACTGATTGTAAACCAATTACCCATTTATCTAGCCTTTTAGTACTACCGATCAAATTATACCGATAATTGACTCGACTTTATGAAAAGTAATGACTAGCACGAATCTTGGTTGAATGGTTCTTGGAAAACTGCATCTAATCAGTCAACGTTTCAATACCTTTGTCTTACTTTTCTCTAGGGATTATGAATAGCCTCTTTAATAGATGGATAGCCAGATTACATTATTCATATGGAAACAATTTTTAACAAACTCAATGCTTGCTACATAAACTATGTTTCGGTAGATATCAAGTTTCAATGGGTATTATTCTTAAATGGTTCGGGACTATAAAGCTGTGGGATTCTTATGACAAGAGATATCGTTAAGGACCATTAAGGACCCATCTATAGATACCTAGTATCTAGTCATTCATTGAAGGCTTTTTATAAATCGATCTTTCCAGAATTTCATCATGTTTTCTAGGACTTTCAACATTAAGAAAGAGGATGTTCAACTTGTTTTTCACTTCAAGCATAAATATTATTGATATTTCTGTATGATATAAATCAAATTATATTTATTGTTACAGATCATTTAAGTAATATTAGTAATTTCAATAATTGAAATCATGAGTCAATCGAAGCTAGACAACCATGGAAAACCTGGAAGCACTGGACAGTCGTTTCGTTCAAGTCTCAACATGCACAAAGGGAAAGGAGAAATTCTTCGATACAACACAACATGCATCAACCCAATCACTCACCTTGGAGACCATTTGAAGGATTTAAAAGCCATTACATATCTGGGCAGGATCATTGATGAACACGGTGGATCTGATGCAGATGTGAAGGTGCGGATTGACAAAGTCAAAGCAGTATATTTACAACTGAAAAAAATTCGGGAATCAAGACAAATATCAATCAAAACCAAACTCAGAATTTTCGATGCAAATGTCAAGACAGCTCTACTGTACGGAGCGGAAACCTGGAGAACTACGAAAACAATCATCCAGAAGATACAAGTGTTTATTAACAGTTGTCTACGCAAAATACTTCAGATCCGTTGGCCGGACACTATTAGCAACAACCTACTGTGGAAGAGAACAGACCAGATCCCAGTGGAGGACAAAATCAAGAAGAATCGCTGGAAGTGGATAGAACACACATTAAGGAAATCACCAAACTGTGTCACAAGGCAATCCTTCACTTGGAATCTTCAAGATCAACTGAGCAGAGGAGGAATACCAAAGAACATATTACGCCGGGAAATGGAGATAGACATGAGAAGAATGAACAAGAATTGGATGGAACTAGAAAAGAAGTGCCAGGACAGAGTGGGTTGAAGAGTACTGGTCGGCAGCCTATGCCCCATTTTGAGTAACAGGAGAAAGTAAAGTAAGTACTAAGTTAAATTTGATTTAACCACTAAAACTATATTAAATCCAGTCCGATGCAACGTAATTCTTAAAGACAAATTGAGAAATTAAATTTCAAAGTATGAGATAATTATTGTTGTTCGAACCAATTATCATTCTGGTGTTCTTGTAAACATATCGAATCTCCTATGTGTTTTTTTGACGTAAAAGTCTCAAATGCTCCATTTTTTCATTGCTGTTTTGGTTAAGTAACCAAGAAGATCCATAAGACATAAATACTTAATTGCTATTGTAGTGTGCAAACATTCAGTCATTCTGTCTAAGTAATATATGCTTAAACTAGGGGCAATAAATTTGACGATGAAATCAAAGTTTCTTTATCGTATAGTTGGTGACATCATGAATCCACACTGAAAAGATTTATTGTACAACAACGAAGCAAGTGTGCAGAGATTCTTGGATTTCAGCAATTATATGACCGAAGTCAGTTCGTAATATAAACTCATAATTAAACGTTCTCCATTATGTTATAAGGAATTATAAGTCGAATGGTATACATTGTTGTAACTGGGTTTTTTAAGCTTTCGTCGTTCAAGATTATTCAGTATGAATATTTAGAATATACTGTATTGGGAAATCTATTCTCGTATTTGGTTTATTTAATTCGGTTATTCACTAAAGCGATCGAAGATGCGAAACGTTAGAAATACAATTTTTCTACTCATTGAGATGTATTCAATGGCTAATTTATTTGAAACTATCAAGACCAACATTGATATTGATACCTGTATTGTTCAAATGTTCCTTTGCTATATATCCTTTGAATGCCTAAAATTTGAATAAATTTTCACAGAAAGACATCACTGCACTAACACAAATTTTCGTGCCTTAAATTGAGTGACAATCGTTGAGAAATTATTCTTCGATCAATAAATCGACGTAGGTTTGACTTTGTCATGTTTGTTTAGTTGAACTATGAACAGTCAAACCTAATTAAGATTTTGGCTGAGATCATGAACCAAATGATGTTAGACCACCATGGAAAACTTGGAAGCACTAGACGGCCGTTTTGTTCTGTTCTGGGACTCCTCAGCAGTTCC